ATCATGGAACACTACATCAAAAACTAATGATGTAATGTATGGTGATTAACATAACAAAAAATTTTTTTAAAAATCTGCAGAACCTATTAAACAGCATGAATTCACCATTTCTTATAGGAAAGTCATGTTGTTGTTTTTTTAATGTCCTAACTTCTGGGCTGAAATACAGATTCCTAGGACATCCTTTATTCATGGCTGTGATCACATGAAGTTAAATTTGGGAAAGAGGGAAAGATTTGTTAGGTGTACAGTGTCAAATAGAAGTTAAGCAAAAAAAAAAAAAAATATGCAGGTCAAATGACCTGTAAGAATTTTAAAGTAAAGGTGACTATTTGTAACTTAAGGTGGAAGACAGAACAGGGGAGTGACTATACAACTGCTTAAAATAGTCACGGTGACGCAAAGAGCAGAGCCGAGAAGAACCTATTAGTAAGGATGTGGGCGAAGTGGAGGGGCCAAGTGCATAGAAGGAATGGTGAAGAGGCAAATGTTTAGAAGTCAGGTGGAGAACAGAAATTACATCTGAGAGGTGTTTGACTTCTGATCTTTGAATTGGAATGATGATCTCTTCCTTATCTGTCCTCAAAACAATCCTTGTGATCCTTTTCCCTTTCTTGTGAAACCTTCGAGAAATGTGTAGTCTAAAGAATAATGCATGATTTTGAAACCATGAAAGTTGTTCACATCTTTAGTAATAAGTACAGTTTGTGAACCATGCTTTATTTTCTTTTAAGATTTTATTTATTTATTTATTTGACAGAGAGAGCACAAGCAGGGGGAGCAGCAGAAGGAGAGGGAGAAGCAGGCTCCCCACTGAACGCAGGGAGCCTGGTGTGGGGCTCAGTTCTAGGACCCTGGGATCATGACCTGAGTCAAAGGCAGACGCTTAACCAACTGAGCCACCCAGGTGCCCTGTGAACCATGCTTTAATCCTAAAAACACAAACCAAAAAAACAAACAAACAAAAAATCCTAGCCTGTGGTTGGAAGACTTTCCTTTTTATTTATTCATCTAGTAGGCCTCTGCTAGCCCCGAGAACACACCACTAAGCAAGCACTCAGTGGACTCTGCCCCTTATAGCTCACAGTGTCTCTGTTCCCTACACCCATATTGTTAATTTTTGGTTTATTCAAGTTACGATGTTGTGAAAAATTATAACTGTGATAGCCCTGCCCTTCAAAAGCTTACAGATGATAAGGGAAGTAAAATGCATACAAGTAACAGTACAAAACAGATACGTAAATAAGGTAGCTATCTTGCTATGAAAATATTGTGAAGCTTAGGGAAGTATTTAAAGTAAGTGGCATTTAGTTAGGTAGAGGTGAGAAGTTGAGTAATGGAGGAATACTTGAAGCAGAAAGTTTATGCAAGTAAGTTCAAGGTATATTTGGGGCATGAAAGAGCAACATTGAACTTGAACACAAGGTTATAATTTTTTTAAGTATTCTTTGAATAAATGTAGGCACATAAGGTAAAATTCAAGTTACAGAAAGGGGTAAGTACAAGTGTTAAAAAGTGAATCCCCCATCCTTACACCCAAGCAACCCAGTTTATCTCCCTAGGAACGGCCACCAGTTCCAGTTTCCAAGTGTTCATCCAGAGATATTCTGCTATGTCTATGCACACATACTTTGTTATTGAACATAAATTACAGCATTCTATCCACACTGCTTTATACTTTTTTTTTCTCAATATTACCATAGCAATTGCTCTGTGATAGGATAGATGAGCTACCTAATTATTTAATCATGGCACAGTGTTTATGAGGAAACTGGAAAGAAATGACAGACGGGTTAAACCTGGAAAGGTGGTCTCAGATCAGCTGGGGAATGCTGGGCCAGGTTTGAGAATTCGCTTCCCCAGGCAAGGGAAACAACTTCATCAGCCTCCTCAAAGAGGTAAGATGTGTAGAAGGAACTGTCCACAGACAAGTGTGGAAGAACAGGGAGGCGTGGGGTACAGTCAACGGACCAGGATCACAGGGAGGTAACAGAGAATGGGAGCACCAGTGATCCCTGGAGTGGTTCCAAAACTGGGTTGCAGTTGTTCACAACATTGAAGAAACCTCCGTGGGAGCATTCCCTTAGTCCCTGAGACGTTTAGGCCTGTGTCAGCAACATAGGTTACAGGTAATAGATGCTTTTTTCTGACGCTTGAAAGAGGTCAGGAGTAGGACCTGTGATGTTGACACAAACACATGACAAGCCATGCTTCATCTGACACGTGATCCTTTCTGTCTGCGTGTAAGCTTTCATCTCGTGGAGGGTATGATAGCTATGCTTCTTTTGTTTTCATCTGTTTCATAATTTTCCTCCAATTGGGATAAACATGTTCTGTATGTGTTCTGAGTATCGAGTGAGAGAAATAGTAATCTCAAGGGAAAAAAAGAAAAGTGAAATGCCAAAAATATTCAGTGTACTACATCCTGATTGTTAAGACAAGGGCATTTATTTTCATTTTGAAGGTTTCAGGGCAGTAACTCATAAGTGATAAACACCCAAAGGGTCCCTGCATTACCTATTTCTACTGGACCAAACACAGGTAGGACTCCCAAGGGAATAGTCCATTTCGGTGAAAGCACGGTGCATGTCTGTCTGTTTTGGTTAACCATTCTCTATCAGTGCCCAGCAAATTGCCCACCACATGGTAAGTACTCCAGAAATATTTGAGAATTAAGTCACTGAGTAATGATAAATTAAGGGTTTCCCTTTAAAAAAAAAAAAAAAAGTTGTGTATCAGTTGTAAATCCAGCAGTAATTGATCTTATCTGGTATTTTAAGAGCAGTTAGAAAGATCCTTAGCAATTCAAGTGACCGCGTGGTGTGGAAGATCATAGGCAAACCCTGGCTGAATGGATTAATGCTAATTTATCCAGCTCTGCACTGCCATGCATTCTCTCGCTGCCGTCTGGGGAAGGTTTTTCTCCCAGGGAGTTAAGTGGTGACTTTACAAATCTGGCTGTTTGGGGTCAGACCCACTGTGGAGCACTCATTTGCTTCTCAGCAGGAAAGGAAACATCACTTTGCATAGCTCCTTCAGATCCTATGTCATAAAATCCAAGCTAAGATTTCAAGCAAATCATTAGATGGGCTAGAATGCCTGTAGATAAACCATTATTTATTTTTCATTGTCATGGGAAAGAAAAGCACCCTCTGTGTTCAAATTGTACTGATTATGATAAAATATGGGATTGCCATTCCATCAGCACAAACAAATAATTAACATTTAGGTAATAAACTTAGTAGAAACATAGTATCTTAGGAAATAATGTAATAGAAAATAGATTGTGTGTGTGTGTTTCATCAAGTGACAGTTTTAATGAGCGTACTCAAATTATTCCATGAAATGGTACAGTTCTGCCCTATTCTGAATGTGGGACTCTGGGCAAATTGAAATTAGGTAACTTCTCTGAGCCAGTTTTGCTGCCCATAAAGGGAGGAGAATGTTACCCTTGGCAGAGGACTGGTATGGTTACTATAGGGCCTGGCAGATAGAAGAAAGAGATGGTATAAAATTTTGTAGAAAAATAGTATTTAGCAGCTTGCAAGTTGTTCTGTGTAATGGTCATTTTCATTACAAAAGATATATTATTTCCCCATCTTCTAATTTTTTTCTAAGCAGGATATAAGTGTAGATCTTCTTTTGCATAAGTGATGCATATTGCTGTGAACTGTGCAAATTTTCTACCAAGATATTCCTAATACTGTTGACATTTTAAAGCGGAATCTCTCTTTTTTATGTTGAACTTGTCCAAGTAAAATATTTTATTTGAGGCTCTTCAATTTCCAAATAGGAAAACCTTTCTCCTGGCAATCACAGTAATAGAAATTTTTGTGCTCATGTCAAAAAGAAATGTTATTTGGCTTTCTAAATTTTCTCATTTTGAGAAAATTATCCTTCTTGAAAAATTAATGGCTGTTCAGCATTGTTTAAAACCTTTAAGTAAACGTAAAAAACCAAACCACAGTTGAGAATACAGAATGAAAGTCTTGCTGCACAGATCTGATACGGAAATCTGACTGGCATTTCTGCCTCTGCCCATTCCTGGCTTCCTTCATAGCAAAAGTAACATCCGCTGCTAACATACTGTCCAGAACACAGAGGCTGTTGACACCCAGTCACCTACCAACTATTGTCTAGTATTGACAGTGTCCACAAAAGAGTTTCTTAGAAAGCTTGATCATGTTTTTCTCCAAGTTTAGAAAATAAGAATTTCATAGATAAGCACCATTAAGAATCATCTAAAGTTGATCAGAATCTATTAGATATTTGTAATAAATTGATCATTTAGGTAATTTGTATAATTTTTTTATTGTGCTACCTTGAACCACTTTATTAGTTCTGATTATGTTCTTGGTAGGAGACATTTCCTTAAGGGTCTTCAAAGGCAGGCATTTCAAATTTCTGGCTCGAAGGGTATATGGCACTTCTCCCGTAATTCCTCAGCAATGCCTAGGAAGTAGCCCACAGACTTCTCAGAAACCCCTTCCACTTAGTGACCTGGATCCGAGGGATTCTTCTAACATCTCTTTCATATCTTTAGTTTGTCATGATTTGTTCAAAATCTGTCTGCTAAAACTGGAAAAGTCTAAAAAATGTGAGCTAAGAACTAGGGAATCTCAGTCTGTCTTTAGCAACCAGTGTCTAATTAAGGCCTTTCAAAATGTACGAAAAGCTCTCTACATCCTGATTCCACTATCCTCATCTGTCAAGTCGAGGGTGGATAGAAGAGACGATAATTTCTTAAGCCATTAACTCTGTGGCTGCCAGAACAATCCTCCTGAGTTTCTATATTATAGTCTCTATATTATAGTGGAATATGCCCTTAACCTTGGTCTCTCTTATGTGGAGAGTTGTTGGATCTGTCCTGAGAGGCAGGGCTGGATCTTAAATCCATTCTTACTGTTTTTCCTTCTCCTTTCTACTGTCTGGTTTCCCTAGGACACAGAAAAAGGGCAGAGAAGAAAAATATTTACTATATATTTATTGAATCAACAGGAATGATGGTTAAATACGTATGTATGTAGAGAGCTTGGAGAAATAAATTTCCTTTGCACAAAGTCAAAAGGCTTCCAGGGTTTACAAGTTTAACTCCTGAGAAGCCCTGCCTACCTTTCCTTCAGATCATCTGGGCAGTTTTTCTAGGTAGTCTCTGCTGCAACAGACATTCACATTCAGCCTAATTTGTAGGAGTCAACACCTGATATATGGGAAGTAGGGAATGGATCCCAGAGGAAAATGCAGCTTTCTGACTTTCTGTGAAAAGAGAGCCCTACTATCCCTGCAGGGTTCTGTGCATTGCTGTACAGTCATAAGAAAACACTAGCTTATGTTTATGAAGTGCTTATTTTTTGTACTAGGTACCAGACTAAGGACTTTATAGGAATGATCACACTTACACCTAAAAACATTAGTAGGCAGATACTGTTATGCCCATTCTAAAACTTTAACTTGACCTCTGGTGCTAACTGGCATTGGAGGACATATTGAAGTCCTTGGATTCCGGGGTGTAAGCAAATAGATTGTTCTGGGCCTCAGCTGCCCGCTACTCTTGTAAAATGAAAGTAGTAATAATATCTATCTCTGGAGTACATTGTGAGGATTAAACTAAACAGTACCTTCTAAATACTCAGAGACAATAGCCAGCATGTAGTAAGCTTTTTAAAAAAAAACTGACCATTATTATAATCATCATCATTATTATTTCTTTTAACATTATTATTCCCAAGGAGGGTGGTCCTCATTGCCAGCTAATGTAAGAGGTGATATCTTTTTTTAAAGAGGTGATTTTAAACAGCCACCCTTCTCATTACTTAAACTTCTCTGCTGAATTTGAGAATATGACCCCAAGCCAGCCCAAGTTTGATTATGAATACCAACGTTTTCCCTCACTGATGTATTTTATAGAAAATGAATTGTTAACCGCATTTGATACTAACAAGCATGAAAGTATATATTTTTCAACACCATGGTAAAATAAAGCCCTTTATGGGATTGTTCTTTTTTTTTTTCTTCTTGCTGAATTTGATTTTCTAACACCATGTAAGCTTCAAATATCTCTCACAGGGCATTCATGACATAAATGGTGAGGTTGTCATCTGTATCCTTTTAAGCTCGACTTACATGCATTATGCAGACAAACCTCACTGTTTGGGGAACCAGCCACCATAGAATGGCCTCTGAAAGAAATCCAGAATAAGCAAGTTATTGACTTGACTCCAGAAAAGGAGGGGGAGAAAAGAGACGTGGGGCCACTTCAGGTTTTGTCTTGATGTGTCCCATGAGTCCATTACAATACATTTTGTATCGCTTTGAAAAATAGTTCAGGCAGGTTTTAAACCTCACTGAATTTGCCTCCACTGCCAACATGGGAGCTGTGGGACTGTGAATTTTCTTTTACCGTTAGCAAAGCTGTTTCAGCTTTTTGGCCTGAAAATGTTAAGATCTTAGTTTAACTTTTCAGGTGTTAATATATCCCTATCAGAAGCAAAGTTAGTTTTTTCTAATGTCCCACAGCAGGACGATTGTTCAAATAGTGTCCGGCACACTGCTTACTCCAAGTAGCTTTCAGCGAAGAAAGCCAACTTTGTTCCACGTGAAAGAAATGAGTTAGTAAAAAAAAAAAAAAAGTAAACGTTACAAAAAATGAAAATAGCGTATGAACAAATAATCTGTTCTCTTTTCCTCTGATTTAAGATGCCGCCTGCCACAAAGCCAAAGGATGTGGTTGAAAGGGTTCCATCAAACACAATTGTTTGGTCTCATAAAAACTCAATGTGCCCCCTTTCCTTAAACAAAATTCAGTCATCTTGGCTGGTGTGCAGAACCCTAAGTGAAGTTGTTCACAAATTCATAGTAATTCTGTTTTGAGAAATTCTTCCTACCCGCAAGCCTGAATATTCTTTATCTCTCTCTTCTCTCTTTTCTTTCTTCTTTTTTTCTTGGCTGAACATCTGAACTCCTCCAAGAGCCCCCTGAGTCCTAGAATTACAGATAAATGCTTCCTCGCCAGTCTATCTGCCCTCTCCCCAGAGCTTGTTGACGTTTCTGAGCAGAGCAAGCCAAGCCTTGTGGCTTTTTTGCACCTCTGCCACCCATTTCTCCTGATGAGTCATCGTGCCATCAAATTGGCAGTTGAGAGGAAACCTACTGTGTGCCAGGCGTTTGTGTGTACATGAGTCTCTGCTCCCGTGGGGCTGGGGCTGTTTGTCTCGCTTACAGATAGAGACTTCGAGTTGACGCAGCCGGCGAATGCAGAATCCTAAACTTCGACCTAGGTCACTCTAAGTCCAAAACGATCCATTTTTCTTTTTTGTTTTTAAATAACCATACCTTTTCCAGTAGCAGCAGAGACTCAGTCACAAAAGGAGGCTTTCTGGGAGGCACCCCCCACGTTTTCTACGTCGTCTCTCCCTCCTTTCCCACTCGCCACCACAAACTACAAAAGCAGCTGAGAGAGGGATGCCCTTCTGGAAAACGGTGGTGTTTGGGCATCTTGCATTTATTGGATTCGTTTCATTTTACTACTACAACAATTGTACATAAGATTTTATTGAATGTCCATGTGAAATAATGGAAAGGGCGTGCATTTGGGATTTGCCCTGAGAAAATACAGCCTTCTGCATTCCTAACGGTAATTAATTCAAATCATTAGGAAAAAGGGCCCAACATTAGCTTTCTTTGTGAGGTAACAGTTTCTCACAGGCCCCGGGTTTTTACGTTCTCCAAACCATTGATTTGGTAATTTGATTATTTTCAAAAAAAAAACCAGCTATATATTCTGAGCAGGCTCTTCCTGGCGGAATCGAAGGCAGTCTGAGAGACTGGATGTCTGCCGACCTAGTTCCTCTAGAATTCCTTCTTCTCAGCGTTTGGGTCCCTGCTGCCACCAGAGAATATTTAATACCAAGCTCAAAATAAGTGTTTAGGAGGCTTTCTGTGGTGGTTTAAAGTAATTACCATGAGAGCTTGGGTAAAAGCCTTTATCCACAAAACTACTTAAATTATATAATTATATCCCCTACTTCACTCTTCCTTCCGTTCTCTGGATTTGTTTCTCTTTTGCTACGTGCCCCTACCCCAACACTGAAACAGAGCCTCAGACCCAGAGTCCACACTTCTCTGCCTCTCTCTAGTGTAGCCCAAGTGAGACTAGATGCCTCATGAGGAGTTATTTGCCTGATGGAACCTATCATAATCCCACATCCCAAACCTCTGCCCAGGGGCCAAGAGCAATTTATCCAGCACTACAACTTCCTCTTCTTAACCTTCCTCCATTTTGTAACCCTTGACCTTTCTGATGGCATGACCCTACTGGGAGATTGGACTGTTTCCTCAGTTACAGTGTTTTATACGTAACTCCCACCCTGGAAAGCCCATATCTATGTATCAGCAAAGCATGGGAATTTTTTTTTTTTTTAGTCTTTTTCCCCTCTTCATTATATTTAGCAATATGTATTGATTAAATGCATTCCCTTGGCTGCCTTCCACTAAGCTGTTTGGGAGGACCCCTTTGACCATATGTTTTTAATGATTTCACCTTCTGTCTGCCCTATCCACTTTAGAAAAATTACTCTATGTTAGTTTGGTTCTACATGAATATGTTTTTTAAGGTTATGTTCTTGTATAGTCTGGGAGTTTAAAAACACCAAAGCTTTTTCGTCAAAAACTATGTCCAAGAAAGCTGGTGATCCTACTGGAATGAATACTAAATGGACCAATTATGTATAAATGTAGTTTCTCTCTACGCTCAGGCATACATTTTTTACAACTTTCTGCCGCCTGCACTAGCCGATGGAAGAGTGGGTATGTGTGTTACACAGGCGCACATGGAATGTCAGTGTTCCACTGAATCAATGACACATTGTCAAAAAACAAGTAATACCCAGCGGTTTATCCACATTGCTATAATGGGAGTCATAACTCACTCTTTTAAGAACTTGCTAACATTGTCCATACTTGATATGGTCATAATGTATTATTAAGAATGTCCTTGGAATGTTCTGTTAATTTGTAATTTTAGGGTGTGAACATTTGGAGAGTGTAAAAGTAGAGAAAGAATGAAATGTTATTGGACCATAAATTTGTAAATATCTCATGGCTTAAATGAGGATGAGGTGGGGCCACAAACCTCAAAAACAGCTAGTAAAATATGTGTTAGTTTAAGATTCTTATGTATGTCCTCTTTTTTGACATTTTGAATTAACTTATAATGGGTTTCAAAAGGTAGACCTTAAGCAAGTTAGATATTCACACACACACACACACACACACCCAGTGAATATTTATTTTTCTGCTATTAAAAACAATCAGTATCTGTGAAGTTAAGTTACGGTGTTGTATCTGAAGAACATGCCAACAAAACATGGCCTCTGTGTTTTCTTTATCATTACTGATTTTAAACCTAGTGTTTATGAAGCGCTCGTTTGCATGTGCAAGGCTATCACATGTAACTTTACATGTATATAATTTTACATTCTTTGTGGAAGCTTAAAGTCTAACATATACATTGATGTGGTCATCTGTATAAAAAAAAAAAATAGAGAAAAACACCAAACCAGTTTATAACTTTCAAGTTATTTTCCACTCAAGACTTGTGTCAGTTTGGAGACAGAAATTAAGAGAGAAAGAAAAGCAGTCTAGTCTAGTTATATAAATATGTGTCTTCCCACCATGTACCAACAACTATATGCTGTATGAGAAGAGATGATGCTAACTTTTCTAGAGTTGAAGGGAAGGCAGGTTTCCAGATACTTCTTATGTAGTAGAAGTAGCTGGTAGAGTTGAGTGTTAACAATCAAAAGGTGGTAGGGGATTAACATAAGAATAAAAAAAAAAAAAACAATCAAAAGATGGGTTGAAATAAATTGCCAATGGGAGATTTCAAAAGGAAACTTAAAATTCTCTCCATGGTACCTCTTGAATTGTACCACTGTTTACAGTATTTGACACTTTACAGATCCTTCTTTATCAGATGTGGGTACCTCTGTTAAACCTAATGTCAGAAGATGGGAAAGAACTAGTCTTTCTTGGATGTCAGTCCTGAGCCAAGCACTGGGCAGGGCACTTGCCTCACAAGTAAAGGAGTTATTTAGCCCACAGTAACCCTACAAAACAGACATTAACCCAGTCTTATGAATGAGAAAGTTTTGACGCCAAGAAGTTAAGTAACCCGCCTGAATAAAGATGTCCATAAATGGCAGAGCAGGGCCATTCTGATACCATATTATTGCCTCCTAGCTTCTGGGACTTTAGTTCTTTATGATGTGGCTTCTTCATCTGGCTTCAAATATTACCAGTGCCAAGAAGCGTCGTGTGAACCTTCATGGCCACCCTTGACTTCTAACTTCAACAGCCCCACTTTTATACAGCCATGCATTTGCACGTTGTACATTGATGCCTGCTTTCTCTGCATCGATTGGTGACTTTGCACATCAGCTGACAAGTTCTGAAGAGCGATTTTACAGTGGCTCAGCCTCCAGTGAGTTAGCTTGTTTTAGCAGAGTCCCCATCTTTGTTCCACAAAATTCCTGCAGGTGTCTTCCTGGAGCATTGTGTTGCATTTTGCCCTTTTTACGGAAAGTAAGTGAAAACAGACACCTGTGGGACTTACGCTAAAGTCAGAAGTAGAGGTTTCATAAACTTCAGCCCATCTGACAAGGATGAGAGTTGTGCGTCTCCCCAAAGTGATTCATCATTAGCCCCAATTGTATGCTTATTGCACTTAACTGGTGATGAACTCATGAAGGAAAAGAATAAATCCAAGAACAATGAAATACATTGTTAAATAACTGAAAGTCAAAGGGTAATTCAGAATCTTGATATATTAGTTTTTCCTTTCTGGGACTAGAATTTTCCTTAAAACAGATGTTTATCATTTGACCCACACCTATTATAACAGATTCCCAGGAAGAAATATAAATGCCCAGTGCTTGTTTGTATTCAGACCCAAACACCAACATATAATTTGGAATAAATAAGTATCCTTCTTTCCTTTAACTCTTGCCATCTGTGCTTAGCCTTGCCGACGATACCGTTTGGGGTAGAGATAGGTGATCCGGTCACTGTAAGTCACTGCAGCCTGGAGCAAGGCAGGGAAGCCACCACCGTTAGGTGTTACATGTTGGATTACTTATCTGTAATCTTTACCTCGTCTCTGCTGGTTAGACTTGGCTAACTAGTCTTCTAGTCAGAGGCTAAAGGCTCTTATTTTCCTCTCCTTAGGGATTCTTCCACGTTCACTATGAGGGTGTTCCTTGGATATGTTCTCAAGTAAGACTACTTGTACTATAAATCTCTGAGAGGAATCAGGGGGGAAAAAAACAAAGGCTAGGAGCTGCAAAGGGCCACTTTTATGCAGGTGCTTTCTGCAACATGACACTTGGGGCCATCAAAAACATAGTTCTTAAGTGGCCCAACATATTCTTTGCACATCTGGCCTCTGGGTTCTTCAGACTATTCCAAGCAGGGTTTTTGTCAAAATGAAAGTGACATGTTGCCTGCTATACTTTCCAAACAAATCAGGGCTTTCAATTTATTTCACTATAAAATTGTGTCAGATTTCATTGTCTAGGATGCCCTGTGTGGTTTTTATCAAAAAAGTCCTGTAAAAGCAATGAAAAATATTGCCATAAAGCTATAAGTCTCTGATTTCTTAAAAGATTATTGTTTTATTTTATTTTATTGCAGGATATTATATGAACATGTTACCTATTTTGCCAGGCTACCCCTAAAGATTAAAATAGAACTCCATCTTAAGGGCTTCTGGTCAGAGGTATCTTTATGAGGAATTCTACTGACCTAATTATCTGCCAAGCATCTTTCTTTTTCTTTTCTAAAGATATTTCTTATAAACCAAATAAATATTGTTTATTTGGCCCACTGTTATGTAACCTGGCTTGATCCCAAGACTGTGGGATCATGACCTGAGCCAAAGGCAGATGCTTAACCAACTGAGCCACCCGGTGCCCCAAAGCATACAACTCTTAATCTTGGGGTTGTAAATTTGAGCCCCTCGTTGGGTGTAGAGACTACTTAAAAATAAAATCTTAAAAAAAAAAAAAGACTATCCAAGATGTACAGCAGTTTTATAGTCAGCAAAAACAGTCCTCAAAATGACCACACAAGAAGCATTGTAACTTCCCACAAGGTATTCTGCAATCATTCATAATTTGCTTGCTATCTCATTACAACACTTTTATTTCATTTCTTCATCAGAGGCCTCAGTCCCAAAGGGAAAGAGAGAGAGAAACAGATAAGTGACTGTACATCATGCTCCGTTGCAGAAGTATAAACAGTATGTGGAAAATCCAAAAGATAGCGGTAGTCCTGTACCTGGAGGACTCAGGAGAAAGAGAGCCATGTTAGTCTATTTGTTCACTGTTGTTAGTGTGTAGTCTTAAAAGGGAAAAACAAATCATGACAATGGGGAGAATGAAGATGCAAGAGAAAAGTGGGGGAGACAGAGGCAAAAAAAATTCTCCATTCTTCCCCTCCCTCAAGAATTAGGGAGAAAGAAGTAAAGGGAAGTTTTGAGGTTGAGGGAGGAAAGTTGAGGGAATTCTTCCCGGTATAAACGTTCTCAGTAAAACAGGTATACGTTTGCTGAAGTGACAAGGGCCGAATTTGGAATCTTGGAGAGAAGAAAAGGTCTGGAGCAGACTGTAGGAAACTGGAATCCACTGGGCATGGATGAGAGTACAGATCAGTGGTCACGGGCACCCATACAAGAGAAGAGGGCTGGAACAGAGCCTGTCCACATGGTGAGGTGGTTTTTTTCCTTCTGTGTTGTGGAGACTAAGAACCGAGGCGAATGTTGGTCGTGGCCTGAACTGTGAATTGGCAAGGCAGGAAACATGGCAGGAGGTCCAGGGGCTAAGAGCGTCTAATGAGCACTGGCTACGTGCAGGGCTGTGGGTAGGCAGAGTTGAGCTGAATGATTGACTGGAATGTCCACATGGGATGCAGGTTAGGGACGGCACAAACAAACCCCACTTTCCCTCCCTTACCTGGATGGCTGCCTGGTAAGGGACCTGGACCCCTGCCTTGCCCCTCGCCTGTCTGGGTCCCCAGGTTGCCTTTACTTCAGACCGTCTCTGATTAGGGCAACACATGCGCCTTCTCTTTCAGGTCACAAATAAGACTGTGTAGAATAAGGAGATACAGAGTTTTATTTTGTTCTACTCTATGGTCTTTTATCCTTTTTCTGATTTAGCTTCTCCTTTATATATTTTCACTTTCACATGTCACTAAGTTTAAACGTTTAAACATTTCCCCCTTCGGTAGCCAAAAAGAAAACAGAGCAACAGCTAATATAGTAATAAATTTATTTCTAGCTACAGGAGATAAGCTTCAATGCAATATGGCCATAAAGTATGGCTTCTAGGCTTAGGGGAGAAGCAATAAACCTTCATAAATAAAATAATTTTAAAATACTGCTGGCAGTATAAATAAGAGAAAAATATAACTTGTAACTGGCAACACACAGTCAACAACAGAGCTACTTACAAAAGAAAGCTATAAACTAAAATAAGAAAATGTTTGTAGCTTTGTTGTTGTTGTTACCTTGCACTCTAGGTGGGTGGGCTGGAGAATTCACGGGGCGAGGGGACGTTTTTGACCTCCCTTCTGAAATGTTACCTCTGTTACATTTCCTGACACCTTCTGATTTGCCGAAGACCTGTGATAATCACCAAGGAAACCCAGGGGTACTGATGCTACAAATAAGAGTTCTCAACCAATTTCAAGGTGTCAGAGAACACCTTCAAAAGGAGAGAGAGTGGGGTGCACAGGACCACGTCCCAAGGGTGCGCTTAATGCTGGAGCTTGCCCAGTTCACAGGTCCCTTGACTTTCAGTCTTGTTCTCTCTCTCTCTCTCTCTCTCACTCTCTCACACACTCTCTCACACACACACACACACACACACACACCACACACACACCGTCATTCACTCACTCATATCAGAAGTAAGAACAGACAGGGAATTGGAGAGCCACCAGGAGGGTGAACTCAGAATTGATCTGTGCTCTCATTCGATACATTGATAATTCCCAAGCATTTGTCATCTTGGGCACTGTGTTTGTTGCTGAGAAATGGGGGAGACGTGGTCTCTCCCTTGGACGAACCGAGGGCCTTTCTGGCCTAGAGTGAGTTATGCTTGGCCGCATGTAGTGAGCCTGGGAGGGCTTGGCGGGTAAGCTTGGTTTAGAAGGTGGTAGACTAACTCTGCAGGGAAGGGGATTCCAGAGAGGGCAGAAAGAGGTCAAGATTGTGAAGGGAAATATGAATGAGAATTAGTTGGGCCTCGATTGTGGAGAGCTTTAATCGCCGTTCTAAAGAGTTGGGGCTTTCTTGTGTAAATGGTAGGAAGCCATAGACAAATTTTAGAGCAAGAAGAGCCGTGGTTTGTGTTCTAAATTTGTTTTATAAAGAGAAATCTCTGTTGGCGGTAAAGATGAGATGAGAGACAGATGATGAGGGCTCTAGGGAAACAGCAGAGGGACTGGTGTGGGCATTCCATTTATAATTTGCTCTGCCTGGTACTTTTCCTGGATTATGCGGAGAAAGACAAGCTAGCACAGAAATTTAATTCTGAGTTTGATTTCACCACTTCGTGGCCAAGTGTTCGTGGGCAAGGAACCTCAGTCCTGTCTCCTGTTTCTCATTGGCAGAATGGGGCTCACAGTGATGCCTCCCGCATAGGGTCGTAACACGTGTTAACTGAAACGCATTGTATGTGTGGCCCTAAGAGCCATGCCTGGTATGTGGTATGCGCTAAATATTTTATTTTATGTTACCTTTTTTTTTATCAGTTCATTCATTTACTTGTTTGTTCATCTCATCTTTGCAAATTTGCTTTTAAGACAATCTAGAGTAATCTACTGTAAATTGTCATTAGTAGATTTCATTTGCAGAATTTTTCTGATATTTTCCCCTTCTTTTCTTAAGTGCTCTTGGGCCAAAATGTTTTAGCAGGAAATAGGAGGGTGAGGCCTATAAATTCAAACAGCTCCTTCCTCCCAGTGTAAAGTGTAAACAGAAAATTTTGCAAAGAACACTGCTATATGGTGGTCCTTAGTGTCACTGTGGGTAATGGGGGCCAGGGGAGGCATTAAGCGACGGTCCAGTATTAGGAAATTTGGGCAGGCTGACTTTATGGTACAACATGGTTCTATTATTCTGATAAATGGATTCTGAAATTCCAGAACACAGTGTGAACCACATTTGAATACGAATGCAGAAACACCTTCAAAAATCTCCAATAAAAATTTTAATTACCTCTGCCTTTGCTTCCCTCTTCTTGAATACAACTGAAGTAACACTCTTAAATTGGAACAATAATTATATCTCCCTTGAATATAATAAAAATTATTAAATATTTTTATTATAGGTATATTTTATTATATAAATATATATATACATATATATATATTTGTATCTATTACATAAATAACTGCAGACTCAGATATTAGCATTCAGAACAAAACTCCAGTAGGAGAGGAATCATTCCTTATGTTTCCCTGTGCAGAGCCAGTGTTCTGTTTCTCCACAGTGTTTGGGCTTTTGTAAAACAGAAAGCTGGCCCCATTAGGTTATAGGAAGAGTCTACAGGATCTGGGGAGAAAACCTAAATATCTTGCAACTTTTTGCCTTTGAAGAACTGGGAAAGCAGTTCTTGATAGAGGGAGATAAATACAACCCTTCTGTATAGTTGAGGTGAACAAAGCTCTCCTTGATACTGAATGTTTTTATTTTGCCTGAAAGTGAACTCTTCATTGATGGAAGGGGTTCTTCTATTTGATCCATCAAGATTACCAAGCCAGGTGTCCCCATCCCCAGCTGAAGTACAGCATCATGAAATTATGATTGAAGTTTATAGAAACCAATTCATGAAGTGGCAAGAGATTACAAATACTGCATTTCCCTCTCTTGGTTACTGGGCATTAAGTTGCAATAGCATTGAGGAATTCTGAAAAAACACCTATAAGTTATTTAAATGACATTCTTCAACTTTTCCCCTGGATTCATGGCTAAACAGTTTTGACTAGTTCATAAATTAGGACAATGTTATTGTTTTGTAATAAGATAATTTACTGAAAATATTTTTGCAGGATTGTGATTGTGTGGTTAGAATAAAGAGCAAAGCTCGCAGAGGAATCAGTGATTTGTAATCCCAACCCTGGTAGGCACAGGTGTGTGAGTTTAATAGAGTAATTTATTTTTTCTGATAACATTTGTCCAATCTCCTTTGAGGGACTTTTGTGAGAATAAAATGAGTAGAATTATGTGAAAGCAATTTAAAATATAAAAGCACTAAGAATAACTAAATGTAGTTGCTGAACATCCTTAAGGCATCTTAGTAGAACAAATGGAAGTAAACGTTGCGGGTGTTTTTGTTTGATTTTACAGGCAACGAGGGAAACTCTTAGTCGCCACTGCACTACCCTTGGTGATGCTCTTCGAAAAGAGAATGATTTTGCTCTTATAATTGATGGGAAAACCCTCAAGTACGCCTTAACTTTTGGAGTAAGACAGTATTTCCTGGACTTAGCTTTGTCGTGCAAAGCTGTAATTTGCTGCAGGTAAGCTCTCCTTAATATTGTCAGATTTCACTAAACAGCACCTCGATCCTAAGTTCTTGATTTGTAAACTTCCTTGAAGTTATTCTATCCAGAATTTGTCACTGTCAGGTTATTATTTCACTCACTCAAGACTCAAGGTTTACAACATGGAATACAATTTAGTAGCAGAGTTTTTTTTAGGTGAGTCCTACTGATCATGAGTAATTATTGTTCATAATTCAAATCAGCAGGTTTGTTGCCATCTCCTGTGTTCCAATTGGGTTATTTCCCTCATTTCCATCTAGGGTTTTTTCTGTAACAGTTCTGTTTTCTGCACATCAGTCTTGGCTCCTGCTTGGAGGACTTAACTTTAGGGAATGGCATGGAGGGAGGTGCTGAGTCATTTTCCTGAAGACTGTTTCTTGACTATACATTCCTCTTTCCTGTAATTTGTAATATTGCCCCATTTCCTAAATTAGAATCTGTTTTAAGTTATCCAGGCTTACTCCATAGAACTACATTTTTATAAACTATTTAGCTCTAACTCCATAGAACTACATTTTTATAAACTATTTAGCTCTAGTCCTCCCTGAACTTCTCGTCAAAGAATCTTCCCTGTATCTTTGTCGAAATTGTTCACACTAGGTCTTCCTAAAATTTCAAGTGTGTTCATGACTCTGCCCACTGTCTTCACTGTGAAACCTAAGGATTTTCCTCTTTGCTGTCAACTTACTAAGGGTCTTACCGGCTGGTAACATCTCCAGCAGCTTTCTCCCTCCCCAGGGAGATGAAATCTTAGCAGGGCTTCTGAAGAATTTCCCAGAATTTATTCTTTTAACATTATTGTTAAAATTTTTTTATTTGCTTTTATTATTATCTTAAAAAATATATTTACTACTCAAAGAATATTATGCTTTTTGAACCCTTTTTGTCTGGGCTTATTCACTTAAATATCCTGTATATAATTTGTCTCCACGTTTATAAGCCGTTCCTTGTAGGTATTTCCTAAATTTCCATTGGAACATACTTTGTGAAATATAATTTAAACCAAACTTAATAATTACCTTTTATAAAGCATCATTTCAACCTATAAAATTGTATACTCAGAATTAAAAATTGCTTATTCCAGGAACCGTATTATTTTAGTCATTTATTTTTCTTCACTGTAGTATGTATTAATAAACGTTACTATAGAGCTCTTGGAGAGCCTATTGTACACACATTTTTTTTTAAAGATTTTATTTATTTTACAGAGAGAACACAAGCAGAGGGAGCTGCAGAGGGAGAGGGAGAAGCAGGCTCCCCACTGAGCAGGGAGCCCGACGCGGGGCTCGATCCCAGGACCCTGGGATCGTGACCTGAGCCGAAGGCAGACGCTTAACCGACTGAGCCACCCAGGCGCCCCTGTACAACATATTTAATATCAGTAATAATCAGGCTCTCTGCTTAATCATGAAAAAAGAATTGGAAATTATCTTGATGATCTCATTTGCATTTTGATATCATCAATATGCTTTTTTAAAATCTGCTTTTCCAGGGACTTTTCTTGATTCCTTGCTAATCTCTTGACCAAGTCTTAGGAATGTTCAACTCTGACACACTTCCATTAGGATAATTGTGTGCCAGATCTGGTTGTTTAGTCACTTTCACTAATGGGATCACAAAGATCAACAAAAGCTTGCTCAAAAGCACAGTAAGTGCTGGGAGGGGTGGCTCCTGTTTCAAAACCAAATGGAATCCAGAGCTACTTAGATACAGTGATCTGTTCCCTGATCAGCACCTGCGCGGGACCTACTGCGTGCTGGGCAGAGATGCTGCACATACAAGGGTGAGCGCGACTTCCTGCCTGCTGTCCTTCATGTCTCCTTTTCTTTTTTTCCTTTTAAGTAGAATCACAGTTACTTTGAAAGATGTGGGAGGCCGATTTTCATAATGCAGTAACTGCAGCTGAGCCTCATTCTCAGAGCATTGCCTAACACAGTACCTCCCACCATTCTTCAAAAAGTGGAACCACAAAATTAAACAATAGCAGAGGGAGAGAAGAAGTAGAAAGCGATGTCAAGGGAGAAAAAATATGTTGTGCGCTTGTGAAATTCCCTCCCGAGATCCTTGTTCTGGACGCTCACAAGTCACATGGACCTCGGGGCTCCTCCAGGCCCGGGCCCCTGGGAGGGAGTCGCACTCTGCCATGCACGTGCAGCCCAGCTCGGAAACTGAGCTTATAAAGATGTGTGTGGCCCCTTCCTCCCTCTGTCCGGTTTTATGTGTGTTCGAGGACCCGAAGGTCCCTATGCCGACACCGGGCTTTATTTAGAGATTTTAGGGTTTGGTGGTGGTGGTGGTGTTTTTTAAGTAAAGTATCTTTCCTCAGCTTTTTTCCTCTACCTTCATACTCTCTCTTTTCTCATAAGGACTGTGGTCCAGCTTCCGGGCTGGTGTTGAGAACTCCTCTAAGCCCATAATTACATCAGTACCACTTGCCGGGGTTATGTCTGTGCACCTCCTTGGCCCGGCGCCTCTTGGCATTTAAACTCCTGGCACAGACCATTTTCTTGTCATTTAGCTTACTGACCTTGAAGTATAATTTCCATGGTAATGCTGCTGTCACTGGTGAGGAATAGGTGGGCAATTCTGTGTATCTTTCTTTACCATTAAATGCAATTGTCGCTCCAGGCTCCTCAGAGGATTACCATCTTCCCAGCCCCAGGAAATTCTCTATTTTATACTCCAGTAGATCAGACACTCCAGATAAATACTGAATACTACTTCAAACTACGGTGCTGTTTCACACCTTTGTTTGTGTTCAGCCTGGCTTTCTGGGTATGCCCTTCAAACCACTGTCCGATCTTTTGTCCGTCCTCACACGAACATAATTCTGAGTCTGCTCTCTGCTGCAGGCTTCTCTTTGCCACAGCAGAGTGGGAGCCGGAGGGGCAAGCCTTCCCGTCACGGGTAACGAGGCTCTCCATAATAGTTCCATCTTCAGGATCCCGGCAGCCACTTTGGTCCCAGACATGATCAGCATAAAGGGCGGAAGGCAGTTTTCAGTGTTTGCCTAACTGACACCATCAGAGAGATGAGCCTCTTCCCTCCAGAGCCCACAGCTGAATTGAAAGAAACAGTTGTTCTCTCCATAGTCACTACGTCTCTTCCCACCGCTTTCTGAAGGGACTATTCAGACACAGAAATAATCCCCTTGTTCCAAAATTATTCAGGGCTTTGGAGTCTGGTTTTGGTTTACAAAAGGAAGGTTTCATGTTATACCTCAAGTAATTTTTTTTTTAAGGAGGTAAAACCCAACAAGTAAGATGAAATCTGTCTTGATCAGCCCCGCAAGTATATTTTTATAGATACCGTGCAGCTTCTGTTTTTTACCTCTGTGCCCGCTTACTGTACAGCCTGAGTAGTTTCATAGGAAATACACATCTAATGTCAGAGGAGTTTCTGATAAGTTTTACTGGTTATAAACATAATCTCCTTGTGGCCCTTCTTTTACCTTGCTCAGGTATACCAATTGTTATCATTTGTGTGATCAGATACTTTTGAAGAGCATGAAAGTTGTGGATCATTCCCCCCTCCAAAAAAAATACACATACACACCAATAGGTAAAACTGAATGCACCATTTTAGGGGCTTCACAGACCCCCTGAAACTCTTGGACAGGTAGGAGAGGGAAAAGCTTGCTCTAAGACTTGTGGAGATTTATGGGCACAGCTTAAATCAAGAACTGTTCTAGCAAGTGGCATTTTATCTGAGGATTCATGAAATTCTTGTTCAAATTTTTACCTCTCTGGCACTTTGGATACCGAATGGAATTTCTCTAGCTTTGGTTTTCATGGCCTATAAAATGAAGAGCTTGGCATACAGCAATGATTCAAATCCTCCACGGAGCCTGGATGTCTAAGCAGCTAAGAGTAGGGCTTCTCTGCCACGGAAAGGTGGGAGATCCATGCACACACGCACCCTTCCTTGGTAATTTCCTTCCAGCTTGAAAGTTTCTGGGCCAGAGGACCCCCTCCTAGGCCTTTCACTTTCTGGACAAACCCTACTTCTGTGGGCCACCCTCTGCTGGGAAGGGTCTGTCTACTGCTTGGATCAGGTTAATTTGGGGAAGCATCTGTTCTACCTCTTTTAATATTCCCTCCAGAAGAGGGTGGGAGTGTTGCAGTGGAATATTGCTGTGTGTTAAATAGCATGTGGTTTCTGAGATCCTCATCAGTTCACATAACCCAGCATTTCAAAGAATTTTACATTTTTTCTGTAGTTGTCAGTTTCGTTTAAACATATTTTGAAACTTATGTTCTGTGACAGTTGGTTGAAAATTGGCCTAGAGCCTCCAGCTTTTAGACTGTCTAGTAATCACCGTTCTCGTACATAATTTATGTACTCATGTCTTCTGAAAAGCAGAAGTTAAATTGAAGTAAGCATTTTTCCCTACTTGCAACATCTCTAATCAAAGTTTAACCCCCTTTTAGGCCATTTTCCCCATAGTGAATAAAAAAACACTTGACTTCGTGGAGTGTCGTCACTCAGGAGTGGCATTCCAGGCAAAACCTTTCACCTCGGTCTGATCAACGGGTCCTCCTCAAAGAGGTCTAAAGGGACACTTCGAATACTTTCTGTCATAGCATGAGTGCATTAAGTAAAGGGTCAAGACAGATCTACTTCTCGAATCTTGTGGGATTGTCTTAAACTTTAAGGATTTCTCTAAATAAATGTTCTACTTAAAGGGTAGTTATAAAGCACAAATGAAGCTCATAAATTCTCCACAGACATTCCTTTAAAGAAAAATGCTTGTGAACATCGTCGGATGCCAAGCAGATGTTTGGCTTTGAGAAGACATACAAACTGTTAATGAATGTCAACCCCATATTTGCTTCCAAGAAAACATGAGTAAATGTTGGAAATGTTGAGAGAATATTTCTTTCATACATGTATGGCTAAAAGAGGACACCCTGAGTAAATTTTATAACTTCATAAAATGGCCATATTTTGCTTTCACATAATATAATAAGCTGTTC